CAGCAACCCTCAGTTTGTTTTGTGAGATTAAGAGTCACTTATGGTTTATCTCCCTCCCAATCCCATCTTGCTTCATTTACTCTTCTCCTACCCCATTAACCCCCCATGTTGCATCTCCTCTCCCTCATATCAGGGAGATCATATGATAGTTGTCTTTCTCCGATTGACTTATTTCGCTAAGCATGATACCCTCTAGTTCCATCCACGTTGTCGCAAATGTCAAGATTTCATTTATTTTGATGGCTGCATAGTATTCCATTGTGTATATATACCACATCTTCTTTATCCATTCGTCTGTTGATGGACATCTAGGTTCTTTCCATAGTTTGGCTATTGTAGACATTGCTGCTATAAACATTCGGGTGCACGTGCCCCTTCGGATCACTATGTTTGTATCTTTAGGGTAAATACCCAGCAGTGCAATTACTGGGTCATAGGGTAGTTCTATTTTCAACATTTTGAGGAACCTCCATGCTGTTTTCCAGAGTGGTTGCACCAGCTTGCATTTTTTTTACGATTTTTTACTTACATTTGAGAGAGAGAGAACATGAGCAGAGAGGAACAGAGGGTGAGGGAGAAGCAGACTCTTCACTGAGCAGGGAGCCCAATGTGGGGCTCGATCCCAGGACTCTGGGATCATGGCCTAAGCTGAAGGCAGAGGCTTAACCAACTGAGCCACCCGGGTCCCTTAAGTTTGCTTTTCTAATTGATGCTTGACCTAGTGGTATTCTTTTGGCTTATAGTGGTATTCTTTTGGCTTACATATACATGTCATCTCTTTCCTCCTATGGCCAATGACAAATAGAAGAAAGAGTTACTTAAGTCCATGGATGTTTACCTAACGGAAGAAATAAAGGTGAATGTATTTTGTTATCTGGATGGCCGTATTACTGAGTAAAAAGGAGAGAATGGATGTTGTTACAGAATTGGAAGTTGCCACCATAATGTGTCTCCTCAGATTTCTGCCCTCTGCTTAAAATATTCTACAAGCATTTAAAAAAAATCATACATTGTTAACTATAAGCAAGATAAAATAAGTAAAATAAGAATTGTATGAAAGGCTATTGATTAAAGGGAGGAAAACTTAACTATGACAAATGGTTATTGTTTGAGGAACAGATAGGACATTCAGGAATAGAAGCTTGACTGGGTGTTAGACCTGGGACTGTAGATAAAGGATGAAATTCAAGACTAAAAGACATATAAGAATCTCTGATAAATAGGCCTTTTTCAAACTACACCCACTTCTGTCCACCCAAAGTATCTGGGATGCCTCTGTACCACAGAATGTGTTCTAGGATAATGAAGTAGGGGAAAAGGTATAAATTCTTCACAAGTCTTACTGCCCGAGGATGGGTAATTCTCTTTATCAGATATTTCTGGTCCTGTTAGTGAAGGTCTTTGATTTTTGTTTTTGCCTTCTCCTTGTTTCAGGGTGCTTTTCCAGAAATCATGATCAGTTCTTGGCAATTCATCAGAAGAAGAGTGGGAAGCCAGCATTCATTTATCACCATTCACAAGACATTGAGAAGAGCCTGGATATAGCTCCACAAAAGATATATAAGCATAGCTACCATTCCTCTTCCAAAGCACAAATAAACAAACAGCATCAAATTGTTAATTCAGCTTTTCCTCGACCTGCATATGACCCATCTCTCAATCTGCTGGCCGTGGCTGGTCAAGATCTTGAAGTGGAAAACCTTCCAATCCCTGAAGCAAATGTAATTGTGGTGGTAAGTACTGTGTTATGCTGATACTGATACTTTCCTCTGTGGTTACTGCTTGAAAACAAACAAACAAACAAACAAACCTGATGATGAATCTTTATCATTGGATCTCAATGATTATTTATCCCAGCGCTTCTCATCCCTTGATATTTCTTTTCTGTTACTTGATTATTATCTGTTGGCTTCCTCTTGAATGTAAGCCCGTGAAATAAGAAACCTTGTCTGTGTGCTCTGGGCAGAGTGCAATGCATGGCACATATGGGTACTTAATAAATATTTGAATAAAAAAATGGCTTCAGGACTTGGCCTTGCTGTTATAGTAGATAATATTCTGCACTGAGCCTCTGTCTTCTGTGATAATCTGTTCTAAGCAGACAGGGCTTAGGCTCAGTTTATATAAATAAGTCGTACTTACCGAAGATCTCTGGACATTTGTCTCAAATTGTAACAAGTGAAGAGACCATGAAAGGAAGGGGTGTAGGGGAGACGTAGTTTTCTGTCATTGGAATAAATAAGGTGGTTTAGGAGTAATTGATGGATAATATTCCTAATATCATTGAGCAGGCATCACCCTTTACTAATCAAGATGATACAGTGGTTGCATTGCTTGTATTCTTTGAGCATGTAACCCAGGCCGGAGATTCCCAGTTTATGGAGGTATCACAGTTAAAATACAGGCTGAGGTTGACGGCCTGTTTAGACTACAGTCCCTCGTAAGTTTTAAGTCACAACAGGAGGATACATATCAAAACACAAGTCAGTAGCTAAATGGTAGTTGTTGCATTTCTGTCCCCAAATATAATCAAATATGTAGACTTTTTAGGCCAAGATCATTCGGGTAAACCATGTTTACATTTTGACAATCTCTCTATGAACCAAATGTAATTAAATCTAATAAACATTTTTCCCTTTCTTCTATTTTTTATCTACTATATATAGGACACTTTACTTGGTATTGACAATCCAAGGTCTATTCATTGACGTTTACAACTAGGATATACTGAGTATTTATTATGATCCGGTTGTCATTTGGGGGATCCAGAAACAGAGACAAATGAAATGAAATCTCTGGCTTTGCTTGGGAAATGTCTGAGAGAAAATGTCAGTAATTCAATAAAAAATCAAAAATTGAGAACACAAGATGAGCTCTTGTTACAAGTTATGTGGGTCACTTGGCCTCCTGAAATACTTGAACAAATTTTGTGCATTTACATGAGTAACAGATGTTCTGAAGGTGAAAGCCATGTACTCCGTCTGTTTGCTGAAGATAAATGACGTTAATGATGTGGCTGTATCTGGATGTGCCTGTGTTAATGCTAGGGCTCGTGGAAGATATTTCCTCTGGTGACCATCATATTCCTATAGTTGTCAACTCTTAAAGTCACTGTGAATTACTGTTGAAGAGGTTTGTTCTGTCTTGTGAGGTCATGTACTGTCTCGTTAATTTAATATTATGGAGGATAAAAGGCATCAGTGAAGAATTCTGGCAGGTCCTTTCACTTTTAGCTTATTTGTGGTTTGGAAACTCAGGAAGAAGCTGTGCTTTTTCTTATGGGTGATGATTACATGAAGGCAATAAATAGGTGATTTTGCTGAGTTAGGCTTCCCTATCCTCTCTTGATCTAGTCTCTAACCATAGAGAGAAACATTAACACTGGCAACTGTTGCAAAGTACCATAGCTAGTGTTAATGTTTCCTGTAATCTGTTGACATTACTCATGCATGTGTGATTTAATAGGAAAACCAGGAAAGTAAAGTTATTTTTAAATAAGTCAGTAATGTTCTGCTGACTCAAAAAGCAGACGGTCAACATTCAATCAAGTATCACCTGGTTGGAAGATTCATTCTATCCAGAAAAGAGGTTTAGAAGTGAAGTATAATGAAAGGGAGTTAACTCTGGTGACAACGTGACTTTGATAGAGTAATTGATGACTGTGTAGCTAAGGTGTTGATGTGTTCATATATATGAACACACACACGCACATACACACGTACACACACAGACTGTATTACTTGAGGAATATTGCAGGGGAACCAAAGAATTATTTTATGGCTCAATTTATACCAAAATGAGTAGTGTTTATGGCTATTAGTTTCCTGAATTAGGGAAATTACCAGGATTTATTTTTTTTCAGCCAGAGTAAAAACACCATTGCCAACTTCCACTCTATGTCTGTATCTATATTATATCTGTATATCTATATCTCCCTCTATATATGTAACTTCTAAGGTTTCCATTGAGAAGAAGAGACGACTTTTTTCCTCTTCCTATATTTTTTCCCTCCCTCTTGTTTCTGACATCATTCAGACAATGAATGATAGAATGAGAAATTTAACAGGGACGTGAGAGATGTATGTGTCACTCCTCCTTTCCTGATACCCAGTTGTCTCCACAAAGCATTTCGTTAGAGCATTTGTCCATAAACGAATTTTTTCCCTTTTTCTCCTTTCTTTTATGATCAGGGAAATCTGCAGTTCATTTATTCCAAGGAGAGAACAGCATAATTAGAATGTTTATCCCAAAGAATGCTAATTACATTTCAGAAGCTCAATTAAGAAGCTGTTATTCAGATTTTTGTGCAAATGCAATATAGGGGAATACGAATGTCCTCAAGGTCAGTGCTGTGGTAGGAGTAAAAAAAAAAATGGTTTTAAACAAATGTGTGCTGGAAATTCCATAGTTATACATAAGACCGCAAGACCATGACATTGGGAAGTAGAGAACCTAGAGGTGTGAATGAAAATGGTAGCGTGGAAGCAGCTGTAGGCTTTTCCAGTTCAGCAAGTTCAGCCTAGGTTGCTGAGTGAAGAATGTTCTAGCATGGGAAAAATCTAAGAAAACTGGGGCTAGGAAGGCTTTGGAATCTGAAAGTGGGATTATGGCTTACTTCATAGGATGGTCTTCATAGGAAGGAAAATAAAAGGAAGAAAAGAAGGGATAAGAGGAAGGGGAGGATGATGAGAAAGGAAAATGGAGGGGAGGAAATGGGAAGGGAGGAAGGAAGGGGGAGAAAAGAGAGGATAGAGTGGCAGGTCTTAGGACAGAGGGAAGACTTCTCTAAGCATGTAAGAAGATGATGGGGAGTTCCTGGAACCTCAGATGGTCTCTGTAAGTTTTCTAGACTCCTAAAGTGTCTTGTCTTGCTCACCATTCACCCAGACCAGCAGACATTCTGTTTTTTTGACACAAACTTTCTTTGAAAATATTTTTATCAGGCAGTTGATTTAGAAGACCTTTAAAACCAAATGCTTTGGATAACTCTGGGTTTCAGTTACATCCTGAGTTCTGTGTTATGCCTCTCTTCAGCTTGGTTCTGCTGTGGACCAGTTTTCGAGTTTCATCTTACAGGGAAAGAGATAGTTTCTAGATGTGATCTGAGGGACTTAGAAGGTCCACCCTTCTCATGCTTTGACACAGTAAATAAATTCTGTAGCATTTAGTGTGTTATGTGGATAAGTAATTGTTGGATGCCTTTTCAAAAGACATTGGTTTCTGTTTGGAAAGATTTTATTTATTTTAGAAAGAGAGAAACAGCAGACTCTGCACTGAGTGCAGTGCCCAACATAGGGCTCGATCCCATGACCCTGAGATCATGGCCTGAGGTGAAACCAAGAGTTGGTCACTCGACTGAGTCACCTAGGTGCCTCCAAAGACATATTGTTTTAATCATAATTTTATATCTGTGTAAGGAATGTCCCAAAAGGTCACTTAGCCTATGTACCTGCCATTGGAATTCTGCCATGTCAGGGAAGGTTTATTAGTTAGGAATATTTTGTGGCAAGTGACAAGAATCCAGTCCAAACTTGAGGAAATTTTGTGGTTCAAATAACAAACATTTGTGTGGTATGTGTAGCTTTAGCTATGGTTTGATCAAAGGCAAATTATTGAACAGGATCCATCTCCCAGCTCTGCTTTCCCTGGGGTGACTTCATTCTCAGACCGATTCTCTTTTCTTCATCTCAACATGGTTTCCTGAAATGCCTGGAGTTTTATCCTTGCAGGTTCATGTTTAGTGGGAAAAAATGACCCTTTCACAACCGTCAGTAATATCCTGGGCATCTCTATGACTAGTGCAATTGAAGTTAATTACTCACTTCATCCCTGAACAACTTGCATCCCGGTGATAAAATTAGGCGAATTATTTCAAACCTTAACTACGTGCGCCACCCCTAGAGCATCCATAAAAGCCCACAAGCTGTTTTTGGGAGGGGAGGTTACTTGAATAAAAATTGAGACACTGTTAACAAGCAAAGATAGAATAGATGTCAGACGCCAGTTAAATGCAAGCTAAAGCAGAGTATTTGACTTCGATTTTTATTAAGACACAGTAGCCCCTTCAGAAATAATGAGGATATGAGGACTTACAAGTTGGCCTCAGTAATGTGATTCTTACAGTGGGCCAAGGAGGCAGCAAATTTACTCCGACAGAGGAGAAAATTCAGGTGCCTGGGCTATATGTCCCACCACTCAGACTATTTTCCAGTTAGGATGGTGATTTAGTGCAGTCTATTAGATGCACATAGACGATATTATGTTTCAAAAATGTCTCAAACTTATGAAAACCACGGTTGCCCGTGTACAGTTTTTGATGCTGCTTATATGCAGGGTGGGGGCGGGGGGAAGGGGACAAGAATGCTGTGTTGAGTTATAGTGGAGGCAGGTGCATGGGCTCATTCCTGAACTTAGTGACTGGCTCATGGTGGGCAACTCACAGAAAGTGTGATTCAAACGCAGGCTTTGGGAAAATTATAAGTTATTTTGTGTGAAGGGTATTGGGGTCAAATACTAAGTACTGAGCCCCAAATGCTAAATGGATGTAAGACACAAGCCTACTATAATGAAGAATGTGACTCAGATGTCTTCCAATACAGCCTTGGGACACCTGTCCTAAGTTCCTAGAGGAAATGAATATAAAAAAGCTGAAAGAAAAAATGTACTATGGTGGTACGTTTGTTAAATAATAAAATGTGTAACTCTTTTTCTTGATTTTCAAGTAAATGTAGTT